ATGGTATGGTGTGGTGTGGTGTGGTGTGGTGTGTTGTGTTGTGTTGTGTTGTGGTGTTTGTGTTTGTGTGTGTCTGTGTGCCCGTGCGTCTGTGTCTGTGTGTACGTGTGTTCTGAGTCTGTCACAGGTAATCGCGAGAAATGCATTGACCGAATCTCCCAAGGCTTGTGGCGAACTGTTTACAACAAAGCTGAGCTGGCCAACAATAAGCAGCAAGACAGATAGCTGCTTCATTCAATAACGGACACTGCCGCCACACCCGTAAGTCCCGCAACTCATCCTCATCCTCGTCCTCCTCTCCTCCTCCTCCTCCTTCTCCTCCTTCTTCTCCTCCTCCTCCTCCTGTTCCTCCCTCCTCCTCCTCCTCCTCCTCCCCATCCTCTCTCCTCATCCGCCTCCGCCTCCTCCTCCGCCTCCTCCTCCTCCTCCTCCTCCTCCTCCTCCTCCTCCTCCTCCTCCTCCTCTCCCAAGGGAATCCCCCCGGCGGCCCCCCGCACCCTTCTGCCCCGCGCGCCGCGCGCCGGAGCCGCCTCGCTCTCGACGCTCTTGCGGCGCACGAGGCTGCCGCTGGGCTCGACCCCCTTCAGCAGGACCCTCGGCCACCACGCGCGCGGGCGGGCGGGAAGGATCGGATGCAGCAGATTTCGTACCCCCCCCCCCCTTTCCCGATCACCCCCTTCCGTTCGGCCCGAAAGGAGGGCGGGAGGATCGGAGGAGAGAACGATACCAGAACCGATACCCTCCCCTCGTGGCAAAATCGCAGCCTGAGGTGCTTGCTATTGTTTGGGGGCCCTGGGGGCCCTGGGATGGCAATCGCATGCGATGTCCAACAGCTACAAGGACAAGCACGGGTCATCTTCATAATCTGAATCTCGAATGGTCCGTCACTGGATCTCACGACCCTGACAAGAATGAAGGGGCCCTGGGACACACAAATAAACAGACACAAATAACCGGATTCCCAATATGTTCCTATATGTCCTGGGTTTTTGTCTTCCCTCACTTCCCATATTTCCCCACATTTTCTGGGGAATCGACGATTAATAGTGTCTGTGTGTTGTTTTCCCTCCTGAAAGAAGCACGTAAGTATAACACTTGCGCGGATGGAGGGCGGGCCATTTGCACAATCTGGATCTCGCAAGACTGAGGTGACGCAGACAGGGCGAGTCATCATATGATGCTTCCCTTACATAAATCATGGTTGTATCCCTGAAGCTTAAGAGTCAGAAGCACGTAGACGGATGGAGGGTGGCCCCGACTGCCAATCGTACTGCGCACCCGCGCCCCGAACAGTCTCGCTAAACTTCTACTGACTGCATGGATACTGGGCGATTCCATCTCAAGCTCATTTCGTGACGCCACGAGCTGACGCCGAATTTCAATATAATCGTTAAGCTCCTACTCCTGATCATCACCATCATCCCCCATGCACCTTCCTCCTGAATCCTTCTCGTTATCGTCATTTTCGCCCTCCTCTTCACCACCGCCACAACGACGATCACCATCCTGGCTCGTGAGCATCATCATCACCACTATCACCATCATCAGCATCATCATCAGCAGCAGCACCGTCATCGTCATCATCCTCATCAGCAGCAGGATCATCGTAGTAATCGTCATCGTCGTCGTTGTCGTCATCGTGATCACCATCACCGTCATCGCCAGATTATCATTACTACAGCTACCAGCAATGGCATCACAAGCATCATCATCAATATCCTAATCACCGGCCTCGTCATCGTCTTCATCATCACACGGAACATCGTCCTCGTCATCATCACTGCAATGATGGCCACAGGTACCATCGTCAGCAGCCACGACATCAACAACCAACCGCGGCATAAACAAATGTCGCCAAACTCCGCATTCATTCTCATCATCACCCCTTTCACCGCCCGCCAAGGGCACCAGCCCGCATCCTCCTCGTCCATCCGCACTTCTCCCTCCTCCTCCATCCGTTCTTCTCATCCTCCTGCCCCTCCGTTATTCCAGTGTCGACGTTCGTTCTCAAAGCGAGGTTATCGACGGAGTGCCCAGCCTGCGTGGCAGGCTGATTCATCAGTTGGCCCGTGCTTCCTGATTTAGACTTGCTCCCTCATCCCTCCTCCGATCCTCACTAGTGAGTTTAATCATGAGATTTGTCTTGTCCCGCTGCATACGCACGCGCACGTTACATTACATCACAAAGCGGTGACTGATATCGTCAGCTTTCGTTAGCTTGCGCTCCGTCGCGCTACTGTATGTCACGTCACGTCACACAATCGAGGATCGCATCACTCTGCGTTACATCGAACTGAACTGCTGCGCATTGCGTTCAGCTCCTCATCGCCGCGCAGTTTCGCGTTGTACTGCCACACGTCGTGTTGAATCACTTTACCTTGCAATGGACAATCCTACCCTTCCCTACACATCACCACATGACACTACACTGCAACACACCACTACACTACAACACACCACTACATCATTGCATCGCATCGCGTAGCGTTACAACACATCGCAGTCAGCCCGTTCCTCTACGCAATGCTGCGTTACACTATAAACGCACGCGTTACTAATCCACCGAATATGTAACGTGTCCACTTCCTCTTGTTGTTTCACTTCCTCCTTTTCCCCTCCTTCCCATCATGTCTCGTATGCATTGTCAGCTGAGCTCCGGGCGCTGTGTCACGGCCATCGCCCTGCGGCGAGAAAGGGCCGATCATAAGATGCAAGCAGAAAAATAAACGGTTATCAAGCTTGCCTGGTGACACTGGCTGGGTGGAGTGAACCAAACCAACATGTATACACAAGCATACCGACAGAGAGAGAGAGACTGAGAGAGAGAGAGATGTATGAAGAAATCAGCAACAACAACTAACAAGCACAAGACAAACTGAAACGGAAGGAGCATGTGAAAAGAGGAATGGATGCATGCGGAGGTCAGAGGCATAGCGTGTAGTGAATATCAGAGGCCTGCCAAGCGTCAACGCACGCTTGCACACCACAAGGTCGCCAAGAAGAGTGATTGCTGGGGGCAAAGGCACCTCTGGAATCCTCCTCCTTCTCCTCCTCCTACTCCTGCCAGTCCGCCACTGACTGGAATTCCTCCCTCCTCCGTCCCGCCTCCCTCATCCCTCCTCCTCCTCCTCCTCCTCCTCCTCATGGCCCTCACGCCGACCACAGGGCTGGAGGGCAGGAAGAATCCTCACACAATGCGCGCCCGCGTGGGCGGCAGGGCGGGGAAAGTCGCGCGCCGGCCGTTTGCCTCGAGGGGGAGGGGCCACCGCTTCGCGGTTGTACTATTAGGTTGGGCGTGTCCTCCTACAGGCGGATTTTGGAAGAAAAACAAAAAATAACCAAACGAATGCTCAAACATAGTCAAAAACAAAAAATCGTCTCCAGACTGCTTGTTGACTATTCTCAAATATTCCCCCTGTAGAAAGACATGCCCGACTTAAAACTAGAATTAAGTCGGGCCTGTCCCCCTACAGGGGGATTTTGAGCGAAAAATTAAAAACACTCACAAAATACTCCAAAAATATTCAAAAACGGTCCCCAAACTTTTTTTAATACTATTTTTGAATTTTCCCCCCTGTAGAGGGACACGCCCGACTTAAAACTAGAAGAAGAAAACGGGCATACACATAACCTTGTGGCGCTCCGCGCGGACTTTTTGGATCCGCGCTGGACCCGCCCCCTCCCTGGGCGCGCCGCCGGGAGGGGGCCCCGCGCGGATCCAAGAAGCCCGCGCGGAGCGCAAAAAGCCCACGTTTACGGCGCTTTCCTTCTTCGATGTGCTGCTCGGATCTCAGCTCCGAGTGCCCAGTGTCATTCGTCATTTGGTGCCGCGTGGTTTTCTCGTCGTCTCGTGGCATGGGCAGCCAATGGCGGACGTCTGTCGTCGGCGCACTGCGAGGGGCTGGGATGCTTTTGGGGGAAACTTCGCCAGATCGCGAATCTGCCCAGACAGCGTCCCGGCTCAGAATTTCACAGGACTGGGATTCAACAATCGCTGGAGGTTGGCCAAGTGGACCGCCTGGTTGGCGAGGCTGCCTCGAGCATGCATGGCGGCTCCAGCGGCGGTGACAAAGGCCCCCCAGGAGGCCCCAAGAAGGCGACAGCGAGGGGAGGGTAGCGGTGCCGGTGCCTTTCTAAAACGACGCGAAGATCGGGACAAAATCGGATCGGGATAACTCGAAATCTCTGAAAATCGACGGGTTTGGAGGATGTATTGGGCGCCGCGGCCGCTCCAGAGCGTTCCGGAACGCTCTGAGAGCCCTCCGGAACGCTCTGGAGCGATTTATCGCGATCCTAGCCCTGTTTTACTTTCCTCCTCGGACTGCCCCCGAAGCCCGCACCACCCAGCCCTCCGCCCCGCCCGGCCAGCTTGCACGCCTGCAGGGCCTGCGGCTGGCTGTCCAGCACGCCCCTGTCGCCTGCCGGGGGGGGGGGGGAAGTGGGGGCCCTTCTGGGCCGGCGGCGAGGCTGCGAGCGGCCGCCTTGGAAGGGGCGAGGCGGCGGGGGGGGGAGGGGAAGGAAGGAGATGGGGGAGGGGAGGGGGGGGGGAAGGGGAGGGGAAGGGGAGGGGGGGGGGGAAGCGAGGGGGGGGGGGGGGGAGGGGGGGGCGAGGGAGGAGGGGGGGGTCAAAGGGGGGGGGCAGGTCATCCCCCCACCCGCCCCCCCTTATCACCTCTCCCCATCCGTTCCCTCTTCCCTGGGCTCCTGGAAAAGGCCGCACAGAAGCAGACAAGTGCGCAAGAGGTAACACGCGCGTGCCAGCGCTGGAGGGATGAGAAGAGCAGTAGGGGGGCCAAGAAAGCTGGAAAAGGGCAAGGGGAAGAGAGAGAGAGAGAACCAGCAAAGGAGTAAGGGGGAAAGGGAGGGGAACAATCCAAAATGCGGATGAGATAAGAAAGGAGGAGGTCGACGACGACGACGACGACGACGACGACGACGACGACGGGAAGGACGAGTACGAAGGAGATGGGGAAGATGAGGATGAGGGGTACGAAACCAGCACGCGTCGCAGGCACGAATCATCGCCCGAGCACGTCACATCATCTTCCAAACAATGTCCTCCATAGGCACGACACAGTGGCTTTCATGACTCCCGCGTGGAAAAGCAATTCCGAAATATGCCCAATGGATTACGTGTCGTGCGATCCATGCCTTCTAAGCGCGTCGCAGTCTGAAATTGGGAGTTGGTCTTGATCTGTTCATTCGAGCCACTCCAAGGTTAAATCCTCGTCGTTCTTCTTTGACCCTCGCTCGCAACGCCCCCCCTGTTGTCCCATCTCCGGTTCGCTTGCTGGGCATCCCAAACATCGATCGATGCCCTTCCCGCTATCACTGCCCACCGCCGAACGCTAAAACATGTCGATCGGATCGCTGTGCCTCCAGCCAATTCGAGAACGTGCTGCCCCATCGCTCTGCGGTCAACCCGGGGTTGCACAGAGATTGAGCGCCTTTGGCAGTCCGAAGGGTGTCTCGAGGCCTATGGGAGTGAATTTATCTTGGGGTCTCTTGGCAGGATGGGGGGGAGGATGCGCTTCTATGCTTCAGGGGGGGCCTTCTGGCGGCATCTCGGGGCCTCGAGGCATCTCGGGGTATCATTGGTCGGGCGTGTCCTCCTATAGGCGGATGTTGGATAAAAGATTGCCCCAGTGCGACCCTACCTAGAAGTTGGAGCCCCTAGGAAAGCAGCATTAGTTGCTATGCTATGCTATGCTAAGCTATGCCATGCGATGCTGCGCTATGCTATGCTATGCGATGCGATGCTATGCTATACTGCACTATGCTATGCTGTGCTATGATAAGCTAAGCTATGCTATGTCATCATGCGCTGTGTTATGCTAAGCTATGCTATGCTATGCTATGCTAAGCGGCGCTGTGCTATGCGATGCTATGCGATGCTATGCTGCGCTATGATATGCTATGATAGGATATGATTGGCTATGTTATGATATGCTATGCTATGCTACTGCAGCGCTGCGCTATGTTAAGCTAAGCTAAGCTAAGCTATGCAGCGTTGCCATTCCTTTGCTTTGCTGTTGCTTTTGCTTTGCTTTGCTTTGCTTTGCGTTGCTTGTGCTTTGCGTTGCTGTCGCTGCTGTTGCTTTGCCTTTGCTTTGCTGCTATGCTATGCTATGCTCTGCTATGCTCTGCTATGCTATGCTGCGCTGTGCTATGCTGTGCTGTGCTGTGCTGCGCTATGCTATGCTATGCTATGCTATGGTGCACTATTCTATGCTATGCTGGGCTATGCTATGATGTGCTGTGCTGCGCTATGCTATGCTACGCTATGCTATGCTATGCTGTGCTCTGCTATGCTAAAGCTCAGCGAGCTAAGCTAAGATAAACCTGAGCTAAAATGAAGCTTAGCTAAGCTAAGATGAAATAAGCTAAGCTAAGATGGGATAAGCAACGCTAAACTAAGGGGACGCAACTGGGGGAACCGCGGGGCGGATGCCGGGGGAACCGCCCGGGGCGCATTGCACTGCCCGGCCCCTTTGAGATAGAGAGTAAGAACCCTTCTAGGCAGAGCCTAGGTAGGGAATAAAAAGTACAAAACATGCTTGAACATTCCAAAATAAATGCTCACACAAACGTTTCCTGACTATGTTCTACTCTTTTTGAACATTCCTCCTGTAGAGGGACGCGCCCGACTTAAGGGTATCATGGAGGTCCCTCGGAGACAAGCTGGCGACGACCTCCCACGCAAAAAACTCTTGTCTGGCTCCTCGCTGGACTCAGCGGCCCCCCTGGATTCCACGGAAAAGCGGTGCCAGGATTTGTCAGGAGGCGCGGCTGGGAACCTCGCTTCCACGCCTGCTGGGGGTCAGGACGGCGTGGCGTGTCCTCCTACAGGGGCATTTTGGACGAAAAATCAAAAATATCAAAACTACTCAAATATATTCAACAAAATACTTAAAACATATCGTCCTCGTCCCTCGACTACTTTGGGACAATGTATGAAGATCCCTCCTGTAGAGGGACAGGCCCCACTTAATGTTAGTCGCGTGCTCACCCACGCCTCTACCATCAGTCTGCTGACATCGCTTCCCTTGGCGGATCTGCAACTGAAGTCTCCACCTTACTCGGATGAGTCAGGACCGTGCTGGAACAGCCCGACAACACATACGGATTGCATGAACGAAGCAAAGAAAGGAAAGGCGGCAGTGAGAGCGATAGGCTCGAGCCTATGTGTGCTCTGACCCAGTGGCCGACGTACGAGTCCTGCTGGGCCGCGGCACGCTGTCCCCTCTTCCTGCGCCACCTCCGCATCCAGGGGCCCCAACCACGGCAACGGGGGAAGAGGCGGCCCGAGCCGACGGGGCCCTGGCCAATCTGCATCCGCACATGTGTTCTGGAACTCCTGTTTGTTAATTCAAGCTGTGCGCGGCCCGCTCAGCTTCGACCGGAAGAGGTGCGCTCTCGACCCGCGAATCAAAAAAGTGTTCTAACGTTCCGCAGCAGGTGGGCATGCGGAACCTGCGAGTGGGCGCACGGTGGCATGGCGAATCCCCGTGCAGCCCTGCGCCCCTGGCTACCAGGGGCCTCACCGCGCCCGCAGTTGGCCTCGGGGGGGGCAGGGACGCAGTGGCGGGCGGCGACCGCGGCGGGTGGCAGCTGGCAGCCCCCCCCCCCTCGCACAAGGTCTGGCGCACGTGAGCAGCGCCTGCTTAGGCTGCTCGCGATGCGCTGCTGCTGCGCCACGAAAAAAACATCAGAGGTTGGAGACTCCGTGCGCTGACCTGATGCGCAACGGCAATGGAAAAAAGTGCGGCACCCGAAAGCAATCATACCCGATGAGAAAACACGGCTTTGAGCATGATTGAAGGGGTGCGACGAAGGGGAGACCGCGGTGACAGCGGCGTGCATGCGTGTCCAGCAACAAAGAGTGAGAACGTTAGCCAGTGGACCCCAAACAGTGAGTTACTGCACTGTGTAGGTGGAGTAGATGCTGAATATACGTATCCGCCAACGTGCCCTCGTGCGCGAGTTGGAGTGTCCACAGGTCCCTTCGAGTTCTCTATATCGAGTTGTGTAAATAGATGGCAGTCGGCCCATCCCGCCACCATGCCTGCGCTGTAGTTCAGAGGCATCCTGGATGCCTGTGAGGATCTCTTGAGATGCCTTTCGGATGCCTCTTGGAGGCGGTTTGGGCGATGTCTTAGGGGTCTTTGGGGGGCATCTAGGGGCCTGGTTTGGGCCTCTTGGGGGCCTCTTGGGCGCACCTCGGGGGCTTGTTAGGGCGCCTTGGGGTCATCTTCGGATGGAGGGCTCAAAATGTCAGTTCGTGTTCCCTATGTTATGTCCCTCCTGGGGCCGTCTTGGGGGCCTATTCGGTCCCTCTTGGGGGCTCTTGGGCCGTTTTTGGGCGATCTTGAGTGCCTCCTGGGCCGTCGTGAACGCTCTGAAGACCGAAAAGGCGGTAATGCGAAAGCCACTGAAAAACCAATGGATGTCGACGTTTCTGGCCACTTGGGCCGCCCTGTGGGCCTCCACGACAGCCCAAGAGTCGCCCAAAAGGGCCCCGGGACGGTCCCTGGGGCCATCTGAAACCATCTTGGACATGCATGTGCCGAACAGGGCGCTCTGGGCCTCTCGAAAACCACGCGGGGACCCCCCGAGAATGCGCAAGATCGCACGGGAGCGCACAGGAATGCTCGGAAGTCTGGGCTGTGGGCCCTTTTAAAGAAGACGTAAACAACTCAATACAAAGAACACGAAGGGCCCTGAGGACACGCCAACTCGGGTGGCGGATGACGGAAAGCGCCTCTGGTATGGACCGCTTGTACCTGACAAAACTTATCTGACAAGGGGTACGGGTCGCACCCTGGACCTCGCGTGCGGATGACGGGAAACGCGCTTAGACTCGAAGAGTCGCGCGATGTACGTTGGTCAAGAGGCCGGAGGGACACAATTACCAAGTGTGGGAGCCCAGGGGGGGAGGGGTGGCAGGATCGATCCGTGGTTCACGACGTGGCCACAAAACGGAGATGTTGAATTCGCTGGCGTATTCTTTGGATGTTCGCTTTTGCTGCACGTTCTTGCACAGCTGCGCACATCATGTGTATGTATGTACAGTGTACATATACAGAAGAGAACAAGAAAACGCTTCTCCTGAGAACTCTTCACAAAATCGCGATATTGCAGGTTCTACATTTAGGCGTCTTATGCTACACATGTGCGTGCCGCCTGAGACATCCTCAGAAAATAAAGATGCTGGAATTGCTGGTGAATCCTTCGAATCTTCGAAAATGACGCTTTCGCCCGAGACATAGTCGAAAAAATAGGATGTTGAAAAAACTGATGTAAGCTAATGTGATGGCGTTGGAAAGCCGAGAATCATGTTTTGGCATGCTTCAAGATCTTCAAAAGGTTGCCTTCCAACGAGGCAGGACCCTCTGCGAAGTGAACCGATAGAGGCATATGAAGAGGGAGCTTGGGGGAGGGTGTATTACAACATCGTTGATGACTCTTGAGTTTACACTGGTCCTCCTCCTGCTGCTCCTCCTCCTTTTCCGCCCTCCTCCTCCTCCGCATCGTCTGCCTCCTCCTCCTCCCCCTCTGCCTCTTCCTCCTCCTCCTCCTCCTCCTCCTCCTCCTCCTCCTCCGCCTCCGCCTCCGTCTCCGCCTCTTCACGTTCCTCATCCTTATCCTCCTCCTTCTTCTCTTCCTCCTCATCCTTCCCCTCCTCCTCCCCCTCCTCCTCCTCCTCCGCCTCCTCCTCCTTCTCAGACTCATCATCTTCATCCTCATCCTCGTCCTCCTCCTCCCCCCTCCCAATCCTCCTCCTCATCTTCCTCCTCCTCCTCCTCCTTCTCCGCCTCCTCCTCCTCTTCATCCTCCTCCTCCTCCTCCTTCTCCTCCTCCTCCGCCTCCTCCTCCTCCTCCTCCCCCTCTCCTCCTCCTCCTCCTCCTCCTCATCCTCCTCCTCCTCCTCTCCTCCTCCTCCGCGTCCTCCTCCTTTCTCCTCTTCTCCTCCTCCTCCTCCTCCTCCTCCTCTCCTCCC